ATTCAACAATAACAATCAAAGGGCAATACAAAGTTTATAAAATTAAACATGTCTTTAAGTGTTTAGTTATTTATTACCTGGTAAATGGAAGAAAAAAGTTGAAAAAGGACTTAACAAATATTAAAAATTAGCACATGGAAATTAAAGTTGTAATAGCCAATACATATTTTTTAAAGGGAGCAGATTGTGGTGGACTGAATCCCATGGGGTGCATGAAATGATCCATTGGGATTTAGGAAGAAAGCTTCTGGATGCAGTATTTTTTTTGTATCCTATCCTTTATATTAGGGTAGACTAATAATGTGAATAGCTACTAGTACAGCGAAACATATGCGTATATATATATATATATATATATACACATATATATATAAATAATTTAAAAATAAATGTGCACATACACATAATAGAGTACACACATATTTTAACAGATGAAGGATGTACCCTTCATATTTTGGAAAACATGGACTTACAGGATCAATCAAGAAGACTACTGTTCATTTAAAAGGTGTCCAGAAAGAAAAAGAACAAGAAAAACCAAAGTAAAAAAATAAAGACGTAAAAGAAGAAAAACTTTTCCAAAATCAAACAAATGGATCTTTATAGTGAAAAGGCTCATTGAGTGCCAAGGCAAATGAGTGGCTAAAAAAAAAAAAAAAAAAAAAACCCACAAAAACCCAAAACTGAGTAACTTAAGATAAAGTCAAGATCCTAAAAGCTTTGAGGTGAAAAACAGACTTCTATATTCAAACAAAACTAAAATTCAAATGTGATGCAAAACAGATCTTCCCCCCCCCAAAATGATCTACTTTCTTGCTCACCTACCATCACTTTACCTATATGTTATTCTCTAATATACAATTCTTTTTTCATTAATTTTACACAAATACTTGTTGCACTCAAATAAATGTTGGACTCTGGTCTTCTCCATGTCAAGGTGCATGAATTTACATATATATGTCGAAAATGTTTATGTTCCCATCTGTTAAGGAGCATGGGTTAACTGTACAGTTTCGTTAACAGGCGAAGGAAGTGCAACAAAAGACAACTTCCATTGCTTGGGGTTTTTGACACGCACCTCCATTTCTTCTGGCAGTTAAACAAGAAATAGACATTTTAAGCCATAACTCTATAGAATCCATAACTTCAGAAACAATTTAGCATAAATTGAATAAACAAATAATATCAATTAAAAGCCAGTTTGTTCTTAAGCTCAAATTTTCAAGATTTCTCTACACATCTTAATTGCTCCAACAGAGTATGCTATTTTCTGTACTGTTTTCTCTTTTTTATTTAAAGAAAATTAGAAGTTTTCCCACCAAATTGTAAGTAGAAATACAAAGGTTGTAAATAACTTACTTTGATACCAAGGGTTGTGGATTTACCCCAAATTAAAATTCCATGAAATTAAAAATAACCATATTGTATCTCACCCAGTTCTGCTTTTGGACTCCAGTTAACTTTCATAAAACAAATGAATTCCATTCCTTATAAAGATAACAAATTATCGACACCACTTAAAAAGTTCTAGAAAAAAACTGAAGATGTATAGAAGGCGTTAATTGAGGAAAACTAAGTTTTTCCAATCTTGCTTGATACATATTACTTCTATCAAATGCCTGAAACAATCGTTTAAGCTTGGAGGTTATCTAAGGTTATTAGAACAAATTCCGTACAAAGTCAAATTCTAATAACATTAAAATACAGACAGCAATCCACAGAAATGAAAAGACTTCTATGATTTTTTTTTAAAATCAGGACTAAACTAGGTCAGGGTAACGATGACAGTGGGATTAGAAAAGTAGTGCCACATTCACCACTATCCAAAATCAAGTCTCCCTCCGTAAATACTGGAAAAAACTATGGAAAGGGCATCTCTAAACTCCATCTCTGACACCTTGTGCGTCACTGCTGTAGATCTGACTCCAATCAGGCTAAGAAATAGGCAGAAGCCCCTTCGCCAGGCAGGAGAGCCCGAGCACCTGCAGGGGCAATGTACACATGGGGTGGAGGTTGAAGAGAAAAACAGTGGCAGTTAAAAGAGGAAACACATTGGGAGTGATACATGGACAAAGCCAGACCATTAGAGAGAGAACAGTAACAATAACAATAAGCAGCAACCAGAGACAGGTTAACAGCGACGTCACAAGGGTGGAAGGGCAGGGGCAAAAGGACAATAGAAACAGACCAAGACTAAGAGGCGTACAGAATCTTCGAGTTGGATACGGACAGGGCCAAGGGCCAGCACTGGTCAGCTCTGCAGGTAAACCCAGTTAGTGCTTCTGTCATTCTGGGCCCTCAGAAACATCTGGGATTCTCCAATCGCCCTTGGTCTGGCCCGAGGGTTATCTGCACATTCTGGCAATAGTGATAGGACAACCCTGCACTCCAGAGGGCCCAAAAAACAAGAAATAACGGGTCCAGATCCGCTGCCGCACTTACCAGGCCACGGCGGCCCGACGTAGTCGCCACATCCCGCCGGCGAAGAGGTCACACAGGCGCCGAGACGGCCACGCGGGAGCCCCCGTGTCGGCCCCAGTCCGGCTCCCACTCCAGGAGTGACCCAGGGAGAGGCCCTCGGCAACAAGGGCACAGAACAGCCGCTGAGTCCCTCCCAATGGCGCGTGGACTTCCGCAAGAGCCTTGACGGCACCCGTACTCAGTCCGTCACTGAAATAACCACCTCCCAACCCACCCTAGACAGGCGCACAAACGGTCCGCTGGGGACCGGCGCATGCGCCTGGGCTCTCGCCCGGGTCAATGTACTCCGCCCTCGCCGCCCCTCCCCCGCCTCGCCCTCCTGACTTTCGGATTGGAATTCTGAATTCGAGTTGGACAGACGGGTGTAGACTTGGGTGAAGGACAGCTTGAAATCCGGATTGATAAATGCTTACCGGTAGCGATCAATTTAGTAAGATTTAGGTATTGTGAGAGCACGAAGGAGCCTGCGGAGTACAAAATGAGTACAAAAATAGAGTAATTTTATAGAGTAATAAAAACGGATAGTTATCCCTTTGCCCTACTTTAGTTGCTTGTCTTTGTTTAAAAGCACTTTCATATCCTAGCAACAATCTTGGGAGGCAGAAGGTGGAGTCACGGATAGGTTAGGTGCCCCAGAATCGCTGAGATCAGATCTGAAAGGGACTAAGGTCATTTAAGTAAGCAATACGTTTGGAATAAGCACGGGAATTTATGAAGGCATAATTCACTGTTCATTTACTCGTTAGCCATCTGACTTTTAATACAATTTGTTGAAACGGACCTTGTCAAGGTCTCCAACAATTCCACATCGCCAGTCGCCCATGACCCCTCAGCTTTCAGCTGACCCCTCTACTTCATCTACTTACCACTTTTGCCCTTCAGAATATAATATTCCCTCCCCCTCTCTCTCTCTCCGCCCCCCCCCTCTCTCTTTCCCCCCTTCTCCACCCCACCCCACCCCACCCCCAGGCACTGCTGATGCCTACTCTCCTGTGCAGCCTACTTCTCTTCCAAATTTCTCAGTGTTGCAGAGTTCCAGATCTTACACTCCCTGTGTTGCTTCCCTTCTTTATCTTACATGCTCTCCCTAGGTAATCTTAAGGTCTTTGCATGAGTCTAAATATCCCTTTCCTCTTCCAACTCAATCCTTTTGTATTTTATGAGGCAACTGGGGCCTATAAAACAGACATGGCCTGTGAAGTCCATTAGTGACATTAAATGTTACTAAAATCTGAGGGTCTTGTGCCCCATCAAGGGCAAATCCTCTTCCAACATTCACATTCACAAAAAACAAAATTTCTTTTCCTTAATTGTCAGAATCATAAATCTAGACACATCCACTCACAATACCACCAAGTGTAAACCTAGCTGCTTGATAGCAACCTTTCAAATGCAGGATTCCAAGAATTTATTTTATTTATTGTGATAATCATTTCAATGACAGGTCCACATAGGAAGCTGCTATATTGACTGGTGCAAACTCTAGTTCTTTCTAGGGATGTGGGTTGTACAAAAATGTATTTGTTACTGTCACTTCCTACTTGTTTTTAGAAACAAAAACAACATTCTCTTTCATATGTGGGTTCTCGTTACATTTTACAAAGCCCTTGTTTTTCAATTCCACTTCAGGGCTGGGACTACTGAACTAGTCTTACATGTACAAAGATGTATGCATGATGGTATTTATGTCTACTATTATGTGAAACAACAAATGATTGAAATCAGCATGACTGTCCTTAAGTAGCTGCTAGTTAAATTATATTCATCATAAAAAACTGTGAGTTAGCTTTCTATGTCCTGATAAGGAGTAATCGCTGATATAGATGGTCTATAATTTACAGTGGCTCAATTCAGAATTTTTGACTTCACCATGGTGCAAAAGGGTTGTGATTTCAATAGAAAATTCTTCAAGTACTCATTTATGACCTGTCTGTTTTCCACTTTCAGTACAATATTCAATAATTCCATGAGATACCCAACACTTTCTATATAGTCTTTGTGTCAGATGATTTTGCACAACTGTAGGTAATGTGTGTTCTCAGCTAGGATAAGCTATGATAGGTTAGGTACATTAAGTGCATTTTCCCATGATATTTTCAGATTATGATGGGTTTATCAGGATGTAACTGCATCATAAGTTGAGGAGCATCTGTACATGGCATCATGTGAGAAAAAAGAACGAACTATTGTGTGATCAAACTGTCACCATTGGTCCAAATTCCCCCACAGATTTATTTGGCTATATAATGTTGACCTGCATACAATGATTAAAAAATAATACTAGACCTGTTGCTGATATTTTAAAAATTGAGAAATTTCATATTTTAAATATGATGTCTCTAGGGGTGGCATTTCCATGGGTCTCTGCTGGGATTCCCTTGGGGCCTTGTGCCCAGGGTTCCAAGAGAGGACAGTTTAAGCTGGACGCTGGTGGCCTCTCTCCCCTTCAGGTGCTCTGACCAGGTTTTTCCAGGTGTGCTGGATTGTTGTTTTTCCCGTCCTCACCTAAGATCGCTGCCATGCCGATGCCAGTGACTCGCAAGACCACAAGGACGGCATTTATGTCCTCAGGCCTGGGGTCCCCGACCATCATGGGAATTCTCCCGGCACTGACCCAGCCTCTGGACCTCCTCTGCCTGCTGCCCCTGTTGTCTACCTGTGTGGTTTTCTCCCTGGTGGCCAGCATGGGCAACTGGACGGGGTCCAGGGGTAACTGGTCAATGTTGATCTGGTGCTTCTGCTTTGCCATGACCTTCACCATCCTCACTGTGGAGTTAGGTGGACTCCGGTCCAGCTTCCCGCTATCTTGGCGCAACTTCCCGATTACCTGCGCTTGCCACGTGGCCTTATTCTGCTTGTTCTTCTCTATCTCCTACCCCACCTCTCACGCGCAGTTCTTGTCTTATGGCCCTTCCCCAGACCATGTCATCGCTGTCACCACCTTCTCCTGCATCGTGCATGTGGCTTATGCTATTGAAGTGGCCTGGACTCGGGCGAAGCCCGGCGAGATCACAGGCTACATGTCCACCATGCCGGGACTCCTCAAGGTGTTGGAGACCTTCATAGCCCGTGTCATTTTTCCCTTCATCCGCTGTCCCAGCCTGGACCGGCGCGAGCTGGCCCTGGAGTGGTGCAGGGTGGTGTGTGCCATCTGCTTCCTCCTGGCGTCCTTGGCTATCCTGCTGAATCTGGGAAACTGCACCAATATGTTGCCCATCCCCTTCCCCAGATTCCTGTCAGGCCTGGCCTTGCTGTCCGTCTTCATGTACGCCACCGCCCTTGTCCTTTGGCCCCTCTACCAGTTTGACGAGAAACGTGGTGGTCAGGCCCCGCGATCCAGGCCGGTGAACTGTACTCACAGTCACCCCCACTTCCTGTGTGACTGGGACCGCCTGCTGGCTGTGACAGTCTTGATAGTCGTCAATCTGCTGGTGTATGTGGCCGACCTGGGGTGCTCTGCCCACCTAATGTTTGTCAAGGTCTAAGACTTGCAAGGGACTCCCGTGTCCCTCTTCTCCACCTCGTCATTCTGCTTGACTGAGTTCTCAGGGCGGAGTCCTTATTTCCTCTTCCTTTCCTCCTAAACCCTCTTGCTGTTTCCTTTCCTTCATGTTTTGTTTGCTCACATCCTGTTTTGCCCTTGTGTTGTATCCCCAGACCTGCTTCTATTCTACCTTCTCTTCTTCCCCTCTCTGCTCTGGGTTTCTCATCTACCTGTCTCCTGAACCTATCTTCCCATGTCCTCAGGAACCCTGACTTCCTGCTCCATCTCCCCTCCTGGCTGCACACATTCCACATCCTCTAGTAGCTGTTTATGCTACAAAGCATGGCCTCCCTAGGGACCTCCTTACCAAAGCACCCCTGCCCATGCTAACTGTGCCTTAATCCCTGTGTGAGTTGGGGTAAGTTGAACAGCTAGGAATAAGCCCCTTTTCTCTCAGTGGAGGAGGATATACAGTGCACAACCCCCTTTAAGTTAAAAACAATCTCCAGGTCAATAATTCCTAGTGGGCAGGAGACTTTAAGCACAGATCCTGTGTCCCTAGACCATGCCTGGCACTCAGACTTGCCTGAGATAGGCTCCAGTATTTTTGTCAGGATTACTAAAAATGCGTTGTCTAGAGGCCATCTCAAATGAAGCAAGAGGTAGATGACTTTAATCTCAACTGTTCTCTGTGCTATAAAAAAAGGAGCTGGGCAAAGAACCACATGTTGTTGAAGATAACTTTCTGAAATATTTCTGAGGGGTAGCGTTAAAAATAACATGGCCTGCTTTGGCAAGGATGAGAAAAAAATGGTATCTAAATGCACTAACAACCTGGTTTTTTTTTGCTCCCTTTTTCCTGATGATGAGGGAAAAAACCTCTGAGTAGCCCTATTTTTCAATAAAGAATTTTCTTTTTAGTTTTTCTTTATTTTTTTGGGTGGGGAGACCAGGGATTGTTGCTACCATAGTCAGAGGAATGACATGTTTTGAGTGTGTGCTGCACATGCATGCATGTTTCTGTATGCTAGTTGCATCTTGTTGCTGCTTTCTGCATCTCTGGAACTCACATGTATAATATGTTATATGTATATTTATATATGAACAAATATACATGTATATGTATATTTATATTTAAATTCCCTGGAGCTTTTGGTTCCTACAGCTCCTGCTGTCAGAGAGAAACCTTGTCCTTTCTCTCACTCCCAAATCCACAACAGTTTTTAAAATAATCTCAATGCAAAGTTAAAAGGAGAAAAAATAAGGCTTCTCTTAAAAAATCAGGCCTGACAACATCAAGCCTCCATTCTTTTCTTTTGTTGGTACTGGGGATTGAACACAGGGTCTTGCACTTGCTAGGCAGGCATCTACCATTTGAGCCACACGCCCCAGCCTTAAGCCTCCATTCTTACAAGCAAATAATTTCTTGAAACCAGGAGCCAAATAGTGGGTCTCTCCTTCAGACATCCTTGCCTTCTCTAGCAGTTAATACGCCTTCCTAAAGACACTTGAGGTTGAACACATCAGTTGCAAGCACATTTACCATGGTGCTTGTGGTTTCATTTGTCTTAGTAAAATCAGGACAAAAAGGAACCACTACTTGTATCAAATGTGAGAAAAATGAAAGATTTACAGGGTCAGATATCTCCAACATAATGAGAAAAAAATTTCCCAGAAGAACACAACTACGCAAGTGATTACGTGATATTGAAAGAATAGTTTAACACGGTATTAAACAGCAAACACTCCACCTTGCTCATTCATGTTACATATTTAAGTTAATGAGCCCTAGTGAAAGGCAAGGTCAGGGAAGGACTTGGCAAGGGTAGTGGATAATGAATGGGAGGGATAATTACTTTATGTGTGTTTGTTAACATGAGTATTACTTAATACAAAAATAGATGTTAAAACACTTTTCTGGCATAGGAGTCATAAAATAATTTCACCATTTTAAACTAAATTCTCAGATTCAGCTGCGAATTGAATAACCCAACAGTTAAAACTCAAAACATTTACCTTGACATGCAAAGCAACATTATTCAGAGTTATCCAATGAATCAGGAATCTTCAGAAAAGGAGGTAAAGAAATGCTAATGGAAACTGAAATATTTGCATTTGTTTTCATAAAGTGTGTATTTAACGTTTTCAGTCAAAGTTTTTTCAAAGTTCTTGGAAGATAGCCAAGTTCCCTGATACTACACTCTTCTTCTGTGGTTTCCTGGTGAAGAAAATAGCTGAAGTTACATTTGCACCATCATCCATTATCAAACTCTCCCCAGTGTTCAGAAAATCATGTTACAGTCATCAAAGATTTAAATTATTTTCCATGAACATTGTTTGGGGATATAAAAACAAAGAGTAAACAGTCCCTGTCATCAACTAACTATAGTTTGGTTCCAGAGACAGATACACATATAAAAAGAGAAATAAGTAGCACATAGTAAGGTTAGCAGCAGTACCTGCTGTAGGGGAAGGACTATAGTGTACTCAAGTGGACTTAAGAGAGATAATTTAGTAAAATAGAAGAGGATGAATTTATAAAGGAGATTGAGGACCACGAAGTCCAGATAGGTCTCTATTTAAGAAAGTCTGGCAGTTGAGAGAGGTGAGAGATCTTTTGAGAGTATATTTGTGAATATTTAAAGCAATGAAATTTAAGAGCACGAAACAAAGATAATTGGGTTTCAAATGATAGTTAATCATAAATGACAGTACTAGTGACAGCCACAGATATAGAGAAACTGAATCCAAAGACAGATGACTAATGCTGAGGTCTTATGATTTATCCAGGCAGTTAGAAATCAAGCCCTAGAATTCCAGAAGCTAAGGCTCGCAAAACAGGTTTGAGAGTTGCCTTTTAAAGGTGAAGCAATGGGTCACGTCAACCTTTGTGAAATTGTGCATGGATATAAAATTACAAATGATTGAATCCACATTGTTTAATGATTCTACATGTGTACATACACACATTTTTTTTTTGAGATGGGGTTTTCCTACATTGCCCAGGTTGACTGCTCACTCCTGGGCACAGGTGAGTCTCCTTCCTCAGCCTTCCAATTACCTAGGACAATAGGCATGCACCACTAAACCTAACTTAATGATCATTGAATTTCTAAAACTAAATGTATTACATGTGCTGCAGTAATGCAAGAAAAATATAAGACATAACATTTTTGGATGAAATGATTACTTACACAGAAAATCCTAAAAAGTCAATTTAAAAACCCCTCCCCAAATAGTGAGTTAGGGCAGGTGTGGGGGTGCACACCTGTGAATTTCAGCTATTTGGGAGTATTGATCATGAGTGTGAGGTGAGTTCAGGCAAAGTCAAGGAGACCCTCTCTCAAAACAAAATAAAAACCAAATGTCTAGGGGCATAGGTCAAGTGGTAAAGTGCTTTCCTAGCAAGTGTGAGGCCCTGGATTCAATCTCCAGTGCCAATAAATGAATAAATAAGGGAGGGACTCAGGATATAAAACCAAAATGATAGCAGTTGTGTTTCTATATACTTGCAAAATCATCTGTGTAGACACCAGGTCTTAATACTTGAAATTTGTAAATGCTAGTTCATTTGGAAAAGGCATATATGATTAAGAATCTTGTGATGGGGGATTACCCATCCAGGTGGACTCTAAATGCCATCACATGTATCCTTATAAGGGGGAGACTTCACGAATATACACAGAGGAAAAGGCAATGTGAAGACAGAGGCAGAGATTGGACAAATGAGACAGAGGCCAAAGAGTGCTGGCAGCTATCATAAGATGGAATAGGCAACTGATGAATTCTCCTTTAGATCTCCCAGAAGGAATGCAGCCCTACTGGTACCTTGATTTCAGCCCAGTGACATTGATCATAAACTTCTGACCTCCCAAACTGAGACAGAATAAGTTTTTTGTTGTTTTAAGACCCCAGTTTGCAGTCATTTCTTATAGCAAGAAGAAACCAATAAAAATTAGAAATTAAAATTAAAAATACCATTCACAATGGCACCAAGCCCCCCAAAACTAGCCACAAATATAACAAAAGATGGGTGAAACTTCTACACAGAAAATATAGATGAGAGAAATTAAGATCACAAATAAACATACTACATTCATGGCTATAAAACTCAGTATTATAAATGTAGCAAATCTCCCCAAACTATATGTTAAATGCATTTCCAACATAATCATGGCAGGACATGCTAAAATTTAGCAGACATGCTAAAATCAAAAAAGCATGTACCATGACTCCATGTACACAATATTCTAGAATAGGGAAAGTGGGGGGGGGGGGTGGAGAAGAATACTGGGGACTCCCTAGGGAGATGGAGATGGAAATCTTTGTATCATGACAGGAATCTGAGTTATATGGGCATATACATTTGTCAAAATGTGCAGCTAAGGTTTGTACATTTCAAATCTCAGATTTATAAATGTATAGTTTAAGCACATATAAAGGCAAGAGGTAGAAGGGGGTATGAAAGGCAAGGCACTGAGAGCCATGTGTGCTGTGTAGAACTGGTTCCAGCTTGTATTAATTTTCTCTTGCTGCTGTAACAAATTGTCCCAAACTTAGCAGACGTAAAACAAAACCAATTTGTTACCTCATAGTCTGGATATAAGAAGTAAGAAATTAGTCTCACTGGGTTAAAAGAAAAGTGCCTATAGTGCTAGTTTCTCTCTGGGGGCTCTAGGAAAGAATTCACTTGTTTTGTCTTTTTCAGATTCTAGAGTGCACACCCTCCTTAGAGATTTGTTTTTGTCTTCAAAGCTAGTAGTGAGTGGTCAAACTATTCTGACATTACATCACTTTGATACTGGATTTTCTGCCTCTGTGTTCTACATGCACGAAAACTTTGGGTTGGATAGAGGTCACACAGATAATCAAGGATAATGTCTCCATTTAAAGGTCAACTGATCAGCAGCCTAAAATCCCCGTTGCCATATCTACAGGCCTGGGGATTAAGATTCGAACTTCTTTCTGGGGGGGTATTCTGTGCACTACATCTCCAGTTAA